GGTTCCCGGAATGAATATGGGAGACGACGAAGCTTCGAAATTACCGGCTGCACGCCTTGCCGAGTTCTGACACGATGCGTGAATCGCTTAGCAAGGCCCAACTCAGGACTGAAAAGTGAAACGAAGTCGGGTGCCAAGGCTGGCGGAACGTTTGCTTGCCTCGGTTGCTCTCTTGACTGCGTTGGAATGTGAGAAGGTGTCGGGTCATTGACACGCGGCGGCGGGGCGACGGACGTGTGCAGGCACTCGAGAGTGGAACCCTGAATTCGAAGATTTAGAGCCTTAATGCCGTCGAGGCCAATCAGACAGGTGCCTTGGCGAACGATGTAAAAAAGAAGTGGTGCAGAGCGCCCTTTAAATTGAACGTCTGCCTGAAAACACCCTAGCACGGAAATTGGACGCTTAGAAAAATCAAGCAAGGTGACGTGCGGAGCTGGAAGGAGCAAAACGCTTTCAAAATGTCGACGAAATGCGTGTTCAGACAGAATCGAAACAGACGACCCCGAGTCAACAAGAAATGTCAAGCTGACATTCGCTACGCCCACTTTTATGTATATTGCTCTGCGAGCAAAATGCTGCACGGTCAAAACTTGCTCAGAACTTCCACTTGACAAAACATTGTCATCAAAATCAACTTCACGAACCCTGCCTTGCGTTTGTCGCTTGCGGTTGCATACTTTCTGAAAGTGGCCCTTGACGCCGCAAGACGAACATTTCTTTCCTTGCGCTGGGCACTGTGACGCTGATGCGCGGTGGTTCCGCGAGCCGCACCGAAAACAGTGAGGTGAAACGGACCGGCTATCTCTGTCTCGCCGAGTGGGGCGGTGCCCCTGCGACGCACGTGAACCGCTCGCTTTCCTTGAAAAGTTCTGCTGACAATGCTCTCTTGGCTGTGAACTGGTTTTTCACGAAGAATGCGGACGACGCACAGAAACAGGCTCGACTGAAGCAGAGAATTCCTTTAGTTCTTCAGCTGCTTGCTCAAACTGAAGAGCGATTCGTACTGTGCTCTCGAACGACAGGGAGGAACCCTCGAGTAGGAGCCGTTCACGTACGCGATTCGAAGCAACGCCGGCAACAAATTGGTCACGGAGGGCCTCATCTTGTGAATTGAACGAACAATGCGAAACGAGCTGCCGTAAAGCAGCAACAAAGTCATGAACGGACTCGCCTGCGTGTTGGTTGCGGCGGTGGAAACGATGACGCTCGACGACTACGTTGCACGACGTCGAAAACTGCTTCCGTAAGGCGGCGAGTGCAGACGCGTACACGTCAGTAGTGGCCGCGGTAGGCTTATCTTGAACTGCCGGTGCTGCGGCGCTTGACCCTGCAGGTAAAGTCCGGAAAACACGCTGCCCTTCCGCCCCCAAACAATGCAGAAGAATGGCCTTGCGTCGCTCTGGTGGGCACTCAGCTGCTCCGGACGCTAGAAGGTAGACTGTAAAAGTCTGCTCCCACTCCTCCCATGGCAGGGACGGACGGCCGGGCGTCTGGAGGAACGGCGGCGGCGGAGCGAGGCCGGGGAAGCTCATGGCGGGGCGGGCGTAGCCGGACGGTACGGGATGCCGAAGGTAGCTTGGAACGGGCTACATCCTCGTCGCCAATGTGATGTTGTCGAAGGACGGACGGAAAACAACCCTTATTCTGCACGATACATCAAATATATACACAAAGGAAGGACGCGCCCCCTGGGGGTGAAAGAACACAAATGAATACCGAAACTGAATATAACAATATCTTCATCACCCTCAAAAATATTCTGCCACAAACAGTAACATGGCCGGTGCCTAAAACACGCTCGCTCACCGCAAAGCTTCGCACTTTGAGGTTTCTGCAACTTTTAAATAACAGCATGCTCGTTTTCCTAACGTGCATCAGCACCTCCGTCACCTGTACTATGATCCCTCCCTAACTGCTTCGCATTTGTAGACAAATAAATCATTTTTAGCGTGCTGAACAGCATCAGCGAGCAGGTGCACGGGATATCCTGGAGAATCTATCCCCGTCTCTTCCGCCATCTTGGAACTACCGCCCTGCCACCTATACACGAACTCAACTCTCCTACGTCACGCCGCGGTGGTGGCGCGCCGGATGCACTTCCGGTCTGGGGTGGTGGACAGAAGTCGCCGTGCCAGACATGCATGCCTCTGTTCCTTTGGAAAAAACGAGACAAAAAACCTGCCTTCTCGTCAAAATGCTGCGACGGGGGTTGTACCAAGAGAGTCTGGAAAGGTTTGAAGATCAGTTTTCATGTGTTTCTGCCCCCTCCGTTCGTCCGAGAACGTGGATAGTAGCCGTGAAAAGGGCAAACCAGACGCTGTCGAACTACGATTGCGTATGCGGGCAACACTTTGTGGTCGCCAGATGTATTTGCTTTGTTCCAACATAAACGAGAGAAAACCGCCAAGTTGTCCGAACCACCCACGGGTTCAGTGCGTCTTCAAATTCACACGGCCGCCTGATCGTTTGAACTTTCGTCTGCTCTTTCAAACATTCGCTTTTTGTCGTCTGCTCGTTCAAACAAAAGCGGCCCGTATACCAAGCCTTGACCCGGTGATTGCAATCAGAAGTAATTGTAGGCCTCAAAAGACTTAAGTAGGCTCGGTGTAAACAGTAGATACAAGATGCTGATCATTGGTACCAATGGCCATCACTGATTTGTTACGCTTGGTCTGTTCCCGCTTCCGATTTTCAGTATCGACGTCGATCATCGCCGCTACCTTTTACACTTTTGCAACACGAGCGACGTCGCTACCGAAAATAGCTGGAAGAATCTCATCATGGTTTTGGCGTCCATTCTGTGGCGTTCATGCGAATGAATTGCCGCACGTCAAGTTATTTACGGAAAGTTTAGCGGCGGAACGAGCCTTGATAATTTCGCTTAGGCGATTAAAGTGGTAAGACATTGCGATGGACGTAGAATCGACAATTCCAACGCAAAAAAGAGTAGGCAGACTCACACAGACGAAGACAATGTGACATTCGAGTGGTTTGTTGACGCAGGACGCGGTGCTTCTTGCCCGTACCCTATTACGCATGCGTTCAAACTGTCGTCTGCTCTTTCAAACTTGTCTGCTTTCTGTCGTCAGCTCGTTCAAACGACAGCGGCCCGTAAACCAGACGTTGACCCGGTAATTGTGATAAGAACTGAGTGCAGGCCTCGAAACAGTTGAAGGTTGGTTGGGGTAAGTAGGCTAAGTGTAAACGGACACGAGATGTTGATCATTATTGTTACCAGTGGCCATCACCGACTTGTAATGCCCGATTCTGCTTGCGGTTTTCAGTATCGACGGTCCACGCTTTTGCAGTCCGAGCAACGTCGCGTCTGAAAACAGCGAGCAGAATCTCATCGTGGGAGTCAGGCTTTAGCACCCATTCTGCGGCGTCCACGTGAAATGAATCGCCGCACGTCGCATTATTCACGCATAGTTTTGCCTCGTTAGTTTTGCTGAAGCCGCTCAAGTAGTCGGACATTCTTAGGAGGACGTAGAATCAACAATTCCAATGTGAAAAAGAGCACGGGGTCTCCCACCGACACCGATAACAATGCAATTCAAGGGTTTGTTTATGGGCGACGGCGGGCTTCTTGCCCACCATCCACTGCGCATGCACGGCGCCGGTGGCGTCCGCTAGGGGCGCTCCGGTTTGTTTGTAAACATGAGTTGGTGTATAGGGCGTTGGAGTTGCGAATTGCTCATGAGTGAACTGTGGGCGGTATTTTTTCGTAGTGTATGAAGCTTGAAGTAAACTATCACTTGCAAGTAATAGTTTTTTGATGCTTCTGTTTTCTCCTAATTTTTTTGCACACTTTTTAAAGATCATGAATTAATACCATCTAGAACAACTTTCAATCCCTCCCCTAAATCTTTAGCTCATCATCTCCTTTGCTGGGGTTGATGCATCAAACAACTTGAGAGTGGTGCTGCTGCATATCATATGGAGTGCTCATAGGTCATTAAAGGGTAGCTTTTGAAAGCCCTTTAATTTATGTTATTGCAAAATATATTTTGGACTTAAAAGCTTCAGTTGAATGCACTAATACTTTTGTGTCTTCTTTGTGCTTGGCTAAATGATACACCCTTTATAAATGATGTGTGCTAGTTGGTAACCGCTGCTTGAAGTATGTGGACAGCATTGTTTGATAGGGTTTCGAAAACTCCTTTCATTATGAGACTACTCCCATTTAAATTCCAAAGTTATTTTGAGAATTATTTAAAAAAAAGTAATTCCCAACATAAATTTTAATGCGATATTTTGGTAGTGACCATGTTTTGTTTCACTTGGGTGACATCAGGTGAGTGGAGTTGTTCTTTTGCCCGTCCACTCTGCAAGGGACCTAATGGACGAAGCTACAAGTTCGAGCTCACAATTCCCACGAGAATGTTCTGTGTCACATTTTTAGGTGCCAGGTAAACTCAAGTGGGCACGTTAAAAAAAACCCAAAAGCATCAATTGATCCTAGATTTGTGGTTGTGTACCGACTCGTCCACAGCAGATTCCTGTGCAGCATCACATTCTGCTTTATGCATCTGAAATCGAAAACATGTAAACAAAAAATATTGTGTTATCATTGTTTATGTTTTAATTCTTTGAGGATGCTTCAGTGAGTGAAAGCTTCAGCACTCATTGATTATAGAAACAACGTTCGTCCCTTTTCAGGTGCCTGAAGAACTGCTGCGGCCGACGGAGGCTGACGCTTCCGGCTCACAATTCCCACGAGAATGTTCTGTGTCACATTTTTAGGTGCCAGGTAAACTCAAGTGGGCACGTTAAAAAAAACCCAAAAGCATCAATTGATCCTAGATTTGTGGTTGTGTACCGACTCGTCCACAGCAGATTCCTGTGCAGCATCACATTCTGCTTTATGCATCTGAAATCGAAAACATGTAAACAAAAAATATTGTGTTATCATTGTTTATGTTTTAATTCTTTGAGGATGCTTCAGTGAGTGAAAGCTTCAGCACTCATTGATTATAGAAACAACGTTCGTCCCTTTTCAGGTGCCTGAAGAACTGCTGCGGCCGACGGAGGCTGACGCTTCCGGCTCGTCGGGGTACAACCTAGTGGTGGACAGCAGCGACACCAGCCTCACCTTCAAGACCCCCCCAGGAGCCAAGAGGGTGTTGAGAAAGAGGTCGCTCATTGACATCACCCCCCAGCAGGGCAAGAAGACCCCTCGGCAGGACAAGAAGACCCTTCAACAGGGCAAGAAGACCCCCCTCCTCACGTCCACACCAGCAACGGCAACCAAACGCAAGAAGCCACAGTAAATGCACTCGTCTGATCTGTGTGGGGTTTCATTCTGGAGTAGTATAAAAAAACCACCTTGCGGTAGTTGTGAGCTTTGGTCATGCAGAGTGAGGCCCTTTCGATACATGCAGTTGTACGAGCTTGATTTCACCTGTAGTTTGGTGGGTTTGCTCTGTGTATTTTAATATGTGCATACGTGTGACATGCATGCCAAGTCTCTGCATTTATGTTCGAGACGACCCTCAGCCACGTGAAGTGCTATCAAGCTGAGCAGAATTTTAACTGAGCCACTTTGAGGAGTTCTATAAGAAAAAGTCAGCTACAATGAAACTTCTGCAAATATAGATGTCTCCCTGAACTTTTTTTAGACCTCTGAACCAGAGTTGGTATTCAAGGTGAACAACTGACCTTAGACATGTCTTTAATAGGTCATGCACAAGTTTACACTGTTTCTGGACAATTTCAAACTTGTATGAAAATAGGTTGTTATATTTTTCAATCAGACTACTCTTAGATTGCTACATTTTTTAATCAGATTACTTTCTGCCATTTTTGCCACCTTTCTTCCAAGAGTATGGCAGCAAGCAGTTCCCATGTTAATAGAGAGACGGCGGTTTTGAGACAAAGAAGTTGCCTCACCATTTCTGTATGCCACTGAAATTGGCTGTTTGCTCACTGCACAAGCCACGGTTGCATTGAGCATAATGATTGATAATTTAAAGGGGCAAGGTAGGGTGACCACCTTGCTGCTAGTGAAATGTGAGACACGTGGGGCGAGGGGGGGAGTAGAGAAAATTTATTAATATGCACACCACGAACCAAGGCTCTGTTAACACATTTAGTATCCTGTGCTGTTTATACACCTGCAAATTGTATAGCAGCAATTAAGCTCAAATAATTTTCACCCCCAGTGATATATTTTTTTTATACTAAATATGTTATTAAATGTGTCGTAAGTTGAAACATAAAAATCGACTGCAGCAGCGCTCGGTCCATCAAATGGAAATAAGAAACAGTAAATCTTTTTCGGGTTATTGTTTCCTGTCAACGCTTACTTTTATCAGCATCGTCCTACACAAATTTTTAGCATCATGTTCTTTTTCAGCCGTAGTGACCTGTAGGCTTTTTTTTTGCCTTGTGTGAGAAAACTTTTCACAACAACCCTTTCACATTGACACAGCGATTTGAAAATAATTACAATAATTTGAGTTTAAAGTCTTTTGGCGAGCAATTTTGTCTTAAAATATTTTGTCACCAAGGAAAAAGGCACAACGGCGCATGCACATTGATTCTCCTGCAAGAACGATGGTAACTTCCTGCAATGCTTGTATAGAAAATGTTGTACCATTGGCGATTCACACGCTTACCAGTAACCTCTGCACTTCCCCAAGCCTCGTTGTTTAGCAGCACCTTGAGTTGCAGAGTGACTTTTACGGCAGTGTGGAACGCGACACACTTCAAAGATTCGGGAATTCCTCGCGAGACTTGGGACACGAGCCCTCAACGTGGGACAGTCATGTGAGTCGCGGGATGGGTGGTTACCCTAGGGAAATATCTGGTGAGTACCTAAGTTGAGTGTAGTTAAACTTCCCAGCCATTCCCCGGGATGGCATTTTTTGTCGCTGTCGAGACATGGGCTGCGCTCTGTCACGGCTGGAGGACGACCTGCCGTCGATTTAGCGCACGTTTCGGCCACTTTTCCTACAGACCGTGGGCCAATTTTAATTGCCTACGAGAGCATTCGAATCGGTTGCAGTAGTTAGTTGTAGGTTATGCCTTCTCGGTGTGGCTATATGCATTTGCAGGCAGAACATCTTGCCACCACCATGTTTGGTCCCGTGCAGTCGTGAGCCTGCCAAAGTTGCCTTAATAAGCGTGCTGCATATGCTTGCTTGCATGCGTGGGGCACCAGCCAGGGTGCCATGCACTTGACACTTTTTCAAAAGTCCCTCGAGCAACAGAGGCAGCTGCCATCCCCTGGGCATCGATCGCTTCTTGCCCAAGGTATGGTGCCGGGAACTTGTCTCCCACTGGTCCGTCGATTTCCACTTGATGATGTCGTAGAAGTCCCGTGCTATTGCCGGCCGTGAGCCCGGTGGTGTCGGAGCGCCAGTGGTGCGTGTGACAGACACCTGTTCTGCTACAGGTCACTCTCCAGCTTGACAGTACACAAAAGCTTTGGCAGCCAGGAGTTTGGTTGCTGTGACAACAGCGATGCTCGCATTTTCTCGTGCTTTTTTCTTCAGAACTTCTACGCCCAACTGTCGGGAATGCGACGTCCGACAGCGTGCTATTTCAACTTTTGTGATGTCATTTGTTGCCACTTCGAGACCACCTTTGATGCACGGGTGGAATATTGCGCTAAGCACGCCAGTCGGAGATGCATTTCAGGCACCGTACCCGAGGTGCGTGGAGCCCCCGTGTCGAATAGATTTGCTCTCGAGTACATGCTAAACACTGACGCAGCACTCGTGTCCAGTGCTTGCTCATAAAGTGCATGCCCGAAATAAGATGACCTCTAAACGGCTACTGGATTGAGTGCTTTTTGAAAAGGATTTGTTGCATGTACTTGGGAACAATGTTTTCTGACATTATAAAAGCAAAGAGTGCATGTGCACAGCTTGAGGTGTTCTCACTATCTGGCAGAGTGTAGTCTTGAGGTGTGAAGCGCTCAGTAGCAGAAGTCGAAGCACGTGGCTTTGACTTTATTGCCACATTCTCGAGTACAGTCGAACCCGTTTATAACGAACCCGGTTAGAACGAATTATGGTCTATATCGAACACACGAAATTTTAAGATCAATATTCATGAGAAATATACTTTCTATAACGAACCACACATCGGATATATCGAACTGCAAGCGCCCGCTACCGCCCCCGTGGAGACGCGCGGGCTTCCCTGCAATGCACAGAGTGACAGAGGACAAGAGAAAACCAAGAAAAACACGATGGCCCTTGAGAAGATGAGTCACAAAACCGACTGCGAACGCCCGCAACCGACCCCCGCGGAAGCGCGCTGTCTTCCCTGCCATGCACGGAGCGACAGAGGACAAGAGAAAACCAAGAAAAACACGGTGACCCTTGAGAAGATGAGTCACAACACCGACTGCGAACGCCCGCGACCGGCCCCCGCGGAAGCGCGCTGGCCAATGATAGGGCAAGCATGCAATGACGTTCTGATGACATCATCCTGCAGCCGTACCAGGCCGGACATGGCTCTCTTGTTTCTAGCGTTTTGCCGAGGAGGCTCGTTGTTCTTTGTGTCCTTCCTGTTCCCGCAAGAGATGGCGACCAAGGTGCGTTCATCGTTACCGTTCTCTACCAAGGTGGAAATAATCCGGCGCGTTGAACGCGGCGAGAAGAAGTCAGAAGTCGCCGCATCCTTCAAGATCGCCAGAAGCACGCTGAGTACGATACTGAAAAACAAGCCAGCGATCCTGCAAAAGGCCCGAGATCGACCGAACGCCAACGGAAAGCGCATTCGGGCGCCTGCCTTTGACAGAGTGGAAAAGGCGCTGTACGCGTGGTTTTTGAATATTCGCGCTCGAAACCTTCCACTTTCGGGCCCCATGTTACAGCAGAAAGCAAAAGACTTTGCCTTTTTTCTCGACGTTCAAGATTTTAGTGGCGGATCCGGATGGCTTCAACGGTTCAAGGAACGTTACGACATCGTCAGCAAAGTTGTCGCCGGCGAGAGTCGAGCAGTCGACAATGAAAGCGTCAAGAAGTGGATCGCCGAAAACTGACCAGCAATTACGGAGCAGTACAGGCCTGCGATATTTATAATACCGACGAAACTGCACTGTTTTGGCAGCTCCTACCCAGTCTGACCTTGGCACGACAAGGTGAGAAGTGCCATGGCGGCAAGCTGAACAAAGCTAGAATTACTGTTCTCCTCACCACGAATATGGACGGGAGCTCCAAGCTTACGCCACTGATCATCGGCAAGAGCAAGGCCCCTATGTGCCTACGGGGGTGTCAGTCTCTTCCAGTGAAAGACACTTCAAATGGAAAGGCCTGGATGACAAGGGTGTTGTTCGAGGACTGGCTGCGCGACTGGGATGAGAAGTTGTCCGAGAGTGGCCGCAAGATTTGCCTCTTGCTCGACAATTGCTCCGCGCATCACTGTAGTGCCACGCTAAAAAACATTCAGCTTCGTTTCCTGCCCCCTAATGCGACATCGGTGCTGCAGCCGCTAGATCAAGGCATCATCCGTGCCTTCAAGCAAGGTTACATACAGGAAGCGTGTAGTGGAGCAGCTGCTCACCAAGCTGCGTGTGGGAAAAGAACCGAAGATTGATTTGTTGGGTGCTATTAAAATGCTTAGCCGTGCTTGGAGCGACATCGCGCCTAACACAATTAAGAATTGTTTTCGCCACGCGGGACTGTACCTGGATAACGACAGAGCAAGTACCGAAGAGGCAATCGAGGTTACGGATGACGACTTAAACGAGATGTGGAGAGACCTCGGCCGTCTTCCCGACGCGGTCCCGGATGGCGTGGAGCTGGAAGATTTTCTCGGAGTGGATGATGATGTCGCAGTGACCAGCAGTCCTTCAGATAACGAAATTGTCGCCGAGGTCGTGGCGGCTTCAGCAAACGACGACGACGACGAGGAGGCAGAGGACCCAGAGGCACCTTGCCCGACGCTTCACGAGGCGCTTGCAGCGACGGAAGTGCTCCGTCGCTACTGTTCCGAGATTCAGGGAAGTGGACTAAGTCTGGTAAACCAGCTATCTCGCGTCGAGGACGAAATATTGAAGGACGCAGTAAAAGCAAAGACGCAGGCAAAAATTACCAGCTTCTGTCGGTAATATCAAAAGAACAGGTAATAAAGACTTCTCTCTGTCGTAAGTGCCACGACTTTTTTTTCCTTCTCAATTTTACGGAATTATTGTGTTCATTTATTGTCTGTTACCTAGAAATTTTCGGGCTTTCTTAGATGATATGTTTCAATATTGAAATTTATTGATAGAAATATGAATACATATGTTCCATCATGAAAGCTGCCTCGCGATAACACGGCTCTGAGCGCCG